CCTTTGACTCTGTTTATCCAAATGTGTTTTACCCCATCTTCTCTCCCCCCCCCACCATTCATTTTTCTATTCTTTATCTTCCTTTTCCATTTTCCCTAAATTTTCAGCCCCCCTCTTTTCTCTAGTTCCCAATTTAATTCTCATTTACTCTTCCATCCAATTTTTATTTCATTCTTCTCTATTCACTAGATCTTCCCCCACAGTATATGTCTTTTTTTTCTTAAGTGCAACTTCTATATTTTACTTTTTTTCTCTTTTCTTTGCTTTCTGCTACCCATGACACTCTATAGACTTCTCATCTGTCCTTATAATTTCTCTCATTAGAATTCCTATGAGGATTTAATAAAATTATGTTCGTAAATAATCCTACACAGAGCCTGCTATGTGGAGGGCATAAAAAATGATTTTAAGATTAATATATTACCTGTATTAACCTCTGGTCTCCAGTTCAGAATTAATTTGGCTTCTCTCCTTCTTTGAGACTAGCAAAGAGAGTACTTATAAGATTGCTCAAACCTCTGGTGGCGACTGGAGCCATCATGATTCTATAACAATTTCACAACTGCTCTGGAGAAATCCCTTGAGGTGTGTTATGTATTGCCACATGGGCTACTCCACCTGGATTTTCCTGAGAACTCCAAGCCCTTCCTCCATCTGTTAAATTATTTTTGATTCTGCAAACACATGTCAAAAGAATTTTTTTTTCCATTTGGATTTTGTTTGCATCTTACCAGCCAAGTTCGAAAATGAAAGAAGGGTCTATTTCTCTCATTCTTGCGTATACACACACATGCATATGTTTATGTCTTCCTTGTGTTAAATGACTAAATAAGTTCTAGGATTCCAGCCCAGCATCCGTCCAGGTCTTCTGACTCCAAAGTCAGTCTTAGTCTCAGTGGTGACATAATGTGATTTACTCTGAAATAGGGCTGGGGACTACTGTTGTTGTCGGATGGAGAGATGGATTGCCTGAACTCTCCATCAGGAACACAAGACAAAATTTTTAAAATGTGTTGGACTTGTTAGTAATGATTATTTTTCATCAATGAGGGAGTTCCTAAAATTACAGAAATAGCTGGTTATTCCATCAGTGCCTTTCTGTGGTTAGTCCTTAATTGTTTACAGACCCTTTCCACCAGCTCTTCATGCCCTTTTGGTCTCACTTATTTTCTTTCATAGGCATAGTCACATTATAAAAGGCACCATAGAGAATTATGGCAGGAGTTTACCTATTTATTTTTAATTTCTAAACCCATTTATTTCCCAGTGAGTGTTACAATCTATAGGAGACCACCTATATCATACACATTATGAACAGTTGGTGACACGGCACCAGAGTTAAGTTAGGGTTTTTCAAAATGCTGACACGCCGAGCTCAAAAGGTTCGCCATCACTGACCTATACCATACACATTATGAACAGTTGCTTTATAAGTATTTCTGTATATTTTTAAATAATACGGTATGACTATGTTTAGACAATACCATGTGTTGTAAAGAATGTGGAGTGTCGCCCTGACCGGTTTGGCTCAGTGGATAGAGCGTCGGCCTGTGGACTGAAGGGTCCCAGGTTCGATTCCGGTCAAGGGCATGTACTTTGATTGCAGGCACATCCCCAGTAGGGAGTGTGCAGGAAGCAGCTGAATCGGTGTTTCTCTCTCATCGATGTTTCTAACTCTCTATCCCTCTCCTTCTCCCTTCCTCTCTGTAAAAAAATCAATAAAATATATTTTAAAAAGAAAAGAACGTGGAGTGTAGAATGTTTCAGCCAGAATAGTAAACAATTTGACATTTTCCTCAAAATTAGACAAATACCTATCATACTACCCAGTAATTCTTCTCCCATATATCTGTCTAAAAATGTCCACACAAAGACTACATGCTAATGTTTGTGTCGGCATTATTCATAATAGTCAAATGCTGTAAATAATCCAATGTATGTCAACTAGTAAATGGATAAATAAGTGTTTTGTTTATATAATGACATACTCAGCAAGAAAAAGAAATAGACTATAAATACATAAATATTATGGTAAATGAGAGAAACCAAACACAAAGGTAATTTATTGTACAATCCCATTTATATGAAATTTATAATAAATACAAACTATAAAAAGAGCATAATCATGGTTTCCTGGAGCTGGAGACAGGCCCATGGCTGACCTCAAATTACCATCTGGGAATATTTTTATGGGATGGAAGTTTTGTGGGGATTTTTTGTTTGTTTCTTTTTTGTAGGTGAGGTAGTTTTATTTATTATCATTATTATTTTATTTTTAAAATATATATATTTTATTGATTTCAGAGAGGAATGGAGAAGGAGAGAGAAAGAAAAAAAATAGTGCTTTAAGTGGGGCTTATTGGTCTTTTTTTCTTGATCTCAGAGGACCTAATTTTTCCTACTGTAAACCAGTGATGGCAACCTTCCAAATACAGAACAACCTCAGTCCTACATGAATGGTACCTCACTAGCTTTATGAAAAAAATACAGCTTAAAGCACTTTTATTGCAATAATAAAACTCGAAACTCATATGTAGTACAGGGGAGGTGGGTGAGGGGTGGGAAGCAATAATTTCTCTCACCAAATCACTACACAGGACAGCACAGGAGTGAGAGGAGGGAAGGAAAAGCCAGGAAACTTCGAGCTCAGCAGGGGGAGGTGAGCATCAAAAAAACAGGAGATGCTGAAGCTGTGATGAGTAGCATCATTTTCTTAAGACAACACTCAAGGATTTGTCATGATGGCTGGCTTTCATTTGGGTTTTAAGTGTCTACAAACAGCACCTTCAATTTAAACTTTTCTATTAAAGTTCTTAAAATTTAGGGAGTGGATCCTGGATAGCTATGGCATTATAAAAGATGTGTAGGGGCGGGGGGCAGGTCACGAAGAAGGCTTCAGAGGTCCCTGCTGGCTTGGGTACAGATACCTGTAGTGTCTAACATTGCAGTGAAAACTATTGGCTTTTAAAAGGCAGAGGGTTTAAGGGGAGAGTGGGATGGGGCTGTGGAGGTGAGGACTCTCCCTGTCCCACTTCAGTTTTGGGTAGGGCTCTTAATTCATCCCAAAGACATCTTTCAACTTGGAGATTATTATTTTAATTTTAATTTTATTGAGTTGAAGAATGAACCATAGAGGTTATTAGGTAACTTGTCTAAGTTTGAAGAACCATGATTCAAACCCAGATAGTCTCTCCCTGGATAGATCTCATCTGACTGAACCAGCTATTAGTTCAGTGAATACTAGAGGGCATTCTGCTCCATCAGGAGTAGCAGATAAATGGATCTCAGAATTCCTTTCCAGATGTACCTTAGGACAGAGAAGTTTAATTGCAATGGAGAATGAAGAACACACTGTAGAAAAACAAAAACAAAACAGGGTCTGAGTAAATGAGACTGAATGAAAGACTTGGAGTATTTATGAAAAAGGTGCTAAAGCAAGTCTTCTCTTGCTCCTCTGGCTATTTTTTTCTACTTATACAATAACAAATTACCACATATATTTATTATTTTACAATTCTGTAGGTCAGAAGTCCAACATGCCTCCTACTGGGCTAAAATCAAGATGTCAGCAAGTCTGCATCTTCTTCTGAAGATTCTGGGGAAAATCCTGTTCCCTTGCCTTTTCCAACTTCTAGAGCCAACCCACATTTCTTGGCTTCCAGTCCCCTTCCCTTAACTTCACAACTAACAAACCATGTGAGTCTTTCTTAGGCTGCTATCTCTCTGGTTGTCTGAAGCTGGGAAAATTGCCACAATCAGCATGGCTAGGGCTCAGGATCTGAAGAAGGGGCCGACGCACATATGAAAACACTAGACTAGAAATATGAATTATTAAGAGGTGGGGGCCAGGTGGTAACCTCTCTCTAGGAAAGGCACACTGAAACCTGGCCTTACTTGTGTTTATTCAATTTTAGATACACATCTTACCCTCAGTAAAGCACAGCAAACAGGTCGCAGACAGACAGTCTCAAAGGTCAGTAAAGATCATTAAAGATTTACTTTGAGGCTATCAGGTCAGGAAATTGCTTCGAGCCATCGCTATCTCAACATGGAACAATTGGTTCATAGCTTAACCCTGCTAAAGCTCAAGGTTCATCAGCCTTCTGAATTCCTTGATGCACTCTCATGATAGTATTGACAATGGATGGCTTCCCGCAGAAAATGTCTTCACTTTTAAAGACTCATATGATGAGATTTGACCTACCTGGATAATCCAGAATAAATTCCCCATCTCAAGATCTTGAACTTTAATCACATCTGAAAAATCCCTTTTGCCAGTGCAAGCTAGCATATTCATGCTTCAATGATTAGAATGTGAACATCCTTACAGACCATTATTCTGCTTCTCAGGGTGTGTCCTTCTAAAGTTCTTTGGGAGCCAAAGTAACTTCTCCCTCCACTATCTGCTGCATGCTCAGGTCTTTTTAGTACCCATATACTCCTAGGAATGCAGAAGGTCAGAGTTTTAAAGTTCTTAAAGAATATTTTTCTCCTCTGTCTGTCCTACATAATTGAGTCCCAGAGAGGATCATGTCTAAATTCCAACAATTTAAGATCACAATCAAGATACACACATATGCTACACACCTGCATATCTGTGTTTATGAGCATCCATATGTCATGTTTGTGCTTGCTAATATTTCCTGTATAATTATTGGCATCCGTATTCATTACCCATATAAATGTACAATGTCAAATTTTTCCTTAGCAAAGAGGCAAGACAGCTAACTCCTTGATGTTTCCAGATGGATTATATCCATATTGAATGAGGTGTTAATTGAAGGTTGTTGTTTTTTCTCCTAGGTATTTTAATATATGATGTTCAGTAATAGAAATATTAGAAACATTGCTTCAGTGATAGAAATAGTGCTTCATGGGGCAGGGCCATTTGTTTTTATATCAGACTGTGGACACAAGTGTGTTCAAATAATATTTAAGTTATCCTCTCTTATGACTACCATCTTAATACTACTGCCACTGATTCTAACTTCTATTGCACTATGTTGTCACTCAACCAAACTACTGATAACCACCAGTGCTTCACCTTGACTGGGATTCCAGGAATGCCAGAGAAGGACTTCTGGATGGCCTTGCCCCTCTGTCCTCTTTATAATACCACAGTCCTGGGTAATGTCATCATCCTTGCTGTCATCAAAGTTGAACACAGTCTTCATGAGCCCATGTATTATTTTCTGGCTATGTTAGCCGCCATGGATCTCTGCCTTTCACTTGATGCCTGCATCACTCAGATGTTCTTTATCCACAGCTTTGAGGAAGTGGAATTAGGTGTTCTGGTAGCCCCATGGCCTTTGATCATTTTGTGGCTATTCACTTCCCTTTGCACTATGCTACTATTCTCACTTATGCAGTCATCAGCAACATTGGGGCAGCAGTCCTGCTACGGAGTGTCGTGGCAGTGCTCCCTGTGCCTTTCCTCATCAAAAGGCTACCTTTGCCATTCCAGGGTCCTATATCATGCATACTGCCTTCATCAGAATGCCATGAGGGCTTGCCTGTGCTGACACCCATGTCAATAGCTTCTATGGTCTGCTGGCTGTGATCTTCATCATTGTAAATAAATGACATGGAGTGGAAATAAATGACATAGAGACTAAAAAATCATAGAAAAGAGCAATGAAACCAAGAGCTGGTTCTTTGAAAAGAAAAACAAAATTGATAAACCTTTAACTACTAAACTCATCAAGAAAAAAAAGAGAGAAGACCAAAATAAATAAAATCAGAAATGAAAAAAGTAACAAGTGACATCTCAGAAATACAAAGGATTGTAAGAAAATAATATGAACAACTATATGCCAAGAAATTGGACAACCTGGGTGAAATGGATACAATTCTAGAAACATGCAGTCTTTCATAACTATCAAACACTAGTTTAATTCTGCTTAGAAGGGGAGGTGGGCTACAGACATGACTCAGTTAATAGGATGGCTTCTTAGGAGAGGTACCTGTATAAGAGGAGGGACTTGGCAATGGCCAGGAGGAACAATGACACCTGAAAGGAAAAGTACATATTAGAGCAAAAATAATTTGAGGGATGGCTCTTCTTGCACACTCTTGTTCCCTCTCTGACATTCAGGGAGCCTCCTTGGCTTAGAATCTGTAGCTTAAGGCAGGGTGAAGAGGAATGGTTATAGTTACCTGATGCAGGCAGGCAGTTTTTGAAGTACACATTACTGTCAGCCTCCAGGGCCAGGAGGGCTCTGATGTATGAGGTTTGTTTGGGCCCCCGAGCAGGGTATGAACCTGTGTCAGGAAGATATGTCTGAGCTGTTGTAGAGGAACATGCTCATAAGGGTTCGGTAACTCTTTGCTCCAACTCACTCATGAATGAAAATAGCTCTCTGTTGCCTGGTGACTCTACTGAGCTGCCTATAAAGCTCACACCCATGGGAGACAGTTTAGTTCCTGTTCTGTGATGGGAATGAAGAGAAGTTGGTGGTGTTTCCTACTGATGTGAGCAGGTAAAAAGAATGCATAAATGGAAAGCTTTGGGAGGAGAGGGGCTAAAGAATGAGGAATGCTAGAAGGAGGGAAGGGTGATAAGTGATTAAACGATGGAAGATGGGATAAAGAAAAGGGATGCAATGGAGCCTGGATGAAATTGAGATAGGGTTATGGAAGACATAAGGGAAATAAAGGAAGAAAGAGGAAAAGAAATAGGACCCAGAACTCTGTCTGAGGTCAATATTATTCAGCAACCAGTCAAACTATTAATTGAAGGTTTCTATTATTCCATATCCTACTTTAGTAGCTTGCATTGAGAGGAAAAACAACAAGTATGCCCAAACTTTCAAGGGACTCACACTTCAGGCAGATAAAGGAGATGACACTTGCATATAAAAATTACTAATATCAGCCATGCCTCATTATTGAGAGTCAAATAAAAGATACAAGCAGGAAGCAGTGCAAAGACTTAGAAGCAGAGGGTAAGTTTCAGGTTAGCATGACCAGATTCCAGGGCAGGTACCAGATTTTGGAAAAAATAAACAGAAGATGGGGACTTATAAATGAAGAGGGTGGGTCGATATCATTATTGATGCCAGAAAGTAGGGATGTTGACCTTTGGATCACTTAGTTATTGAGGTGGGTGGATTCTATCCTCATTTAATCTAGCCTTCTGTATATTAATTGGAAGATATTACCATCTGCCTTGCCACTCAGAGGGAGAACTGAAGATAGAAAGCTCTAGCCTATTCTTCTGGTTAGTGGGCAATGCAGAGAAAACCTTGATGAACTGAGGCACAAATTTTGTCCTACAACTGGTCCCAGAGGGTCTGAGCTGACTGGGTATGGAGGAAAGGCCCTCTGTTCCTTCTCCTGTCCACATATCTGCATTCCATACAAAGCAAGTTCTCTACCAGCAAAATGAACCATTGTCTCCTCTCCTCTTAACCCTCACATCATCCAGGGTCATCGTCTTGTCCTTTATGAGCTATAATTCAAAGAGCAGAAGATAATGATTATCTACTTTATCTCTTAATTACTCTTCTATTCCAAAACTCCTTTCTGCATACACCAGTACATAGAGACCCACAATACAAACATATGCAAACATTCAAATATTCTCTTAAACACACATGGACTGACTCCACAAATATTCTTTTAAAAATAAGGTATGAGGACACTTTTCTTCCTTTTACTTATTTTTTCATTCCTTCTCTAAATCATATAGATAAATAATAAAATACAAGCAAGTCTTGTATTTTAAAATAAGGAAATCATACTGTCCAACTGTTTAGCTTCTCCCATAAGCCTGGCTTCTCTAATGTTCTATGGTTTAATAAAAAATAAGGAACTTTGGAGTTAGTAAATCTGGTCTTAATTTTGAATCTATATCTAGCTCTTTTACCTTTGAAATACTATTTTATCTAGTGAGATCCTTTCTTTAAATAGGATAAATATATCTATATAATACCCCCCTTAGATTATATAAAATTGTATATAAGGTGGCTATCAAATGTTGACATATACAAAGGATTTTAATTATTTTCTTTTTCTTTTAATCTACCTCCCCTTTTTCTCCCAACCAATGAGAGGAAAATTGCTCTTCTATGTTCCCTGGTGTCTGGGGAAATGTTTTCCCTGAGGCTCATCCTTCCTGCAAAACTTCCAGGTTCAATCTATAGTTTTCTCATCTAATCTTTATCCATCTCTGTTCAATTATCATTTATCCATCCATTAATACTTCTACTATAAATTATATTATTCGAGTTTTTATCATGTACCAATAACTGTGCTTGTCTCTGGAGAAAATATAAAAATTAGCACATATGTTTTATGTTCCCAGAAAGCAAGCATTTTAGAGGAAGAAAGAAATGTGATCAGGCAATTAGATTTTAGTGGTATAAACAGCATACATAAAGTACCTTTGGAGAAGAGTGAATAGATTGAGTGATTTTACATTGCAGAGAGATTCCTGAATTGTAGTCACAGAGAAGGAGATAGATTCACTAA